AACTTCTTGGTGCGTGGACTTCACCAGGGGTAGACCTCCCAGCCCCCCCCCCCAGGGAGACTAGTTGTTGTTGTTGTTGTTCTTGTTGTTATGTGCCGTCGTGTCTCCTGCGACCCATAGCGACCCTATGTACAACAGCCCTAAACTGTGTCCTATCCTGTGCCAATCTCACCATCTCCAACACACCTACCCCCATTACCCCAGTCACTGAATCAATCCATCTCATCAAGGGTCTTCCTTTCCTGCGTTTTCCCTTCACCCTCCCAAGCATGACGTCCTTCTCCAAGGACTGGTCCTTCCTTGCAACATGTCCAAATTATGTCAGATGAAGCTTCAGAATCCTTGCCTCCAAGGAGCAGCCCGGCTTCACCCTCTCTAGGACAAACCTGTTTGTTCTCCTAGCAGTCCATGTATATTCAATACTTTTCTCCAACACCACAACTCAAAGGCATTAATTGCCCTTCTATTGTTCAGCTCTCTGATTCACTACACGTGATTATAAAGACCATGGCCTGTATCAGGCGCACAGTAGTCTCCAGACTGACATCGTTGCACTTTAGTACTTTAGAGAAGTCTCTAACTGCAGACTTGCTCATCGCAATATGTCTTTTAATTTCCTGGCTGCTGGTGCCAAGATTGTCGACTGTGGACGATAACTTGCCTTTCTGGGTTATGAACCAAGCACTGGATAGAGCTTTACAATATCATCTAATGATTAGTATTTTCTTAGATTTAAAGATGAGGAAGCAAGAGCCAGAAGGTTAAAGTAGCTTGTTCCAGGTCCAAAGAGAAAATTATTGATTCCAAAGACCTTTGCAATCCACAAACCCTTCTAGGCTCTCTTAATGCATAGACTGAAGGATGGAGACAAGCAGTAGTGTGGTGAGCATATTTTCCTTCCAAACTTTGAGGAGGACCAGACATTGGGCACTTAGCAGTTACACTCAAGTTTTCGAACCTGAAGGAAATTACTCTCTTGCTACCTTCGAGCCCATTGCTGCAGTCACTATGTCAGTTCACCTGGTTGAGGGTCTCAAGTGTGGTTTCGAGTGTGTCGGAGATTGTGAGGTTGGCACAGGATAGAACAAGGTTCAGATCAGTTCATAGGGTCGTTATGAGTCATACTCAACCCCTTTAATGTCAAAAGGCTCGTTTCCTCCAAAGACAATCCCATCTGACTATGGACTGCTCAGATCAGTGCTTCACCCTCACAGTGAGGTAGGATCCGGCTCCTTGAAGCCCTCACCTACTGTTGGTTGGAGTTTCAAAGACTAATAAAGAACACACAGAGCTTAAGTAGCTAGCCCAGCATCACAGAGCTGGGAGGGCACAGAGGCTACACTAACCCCCAGCTGGACCTGTGGAGAGACACAATTTGCCTTCCTTCCAGGTTTTGATTTAAGTGAGGGACCATCTCTCTCTCTCTCTCCACACACCCCACCAGTCTGTCTTCGCAGGCCAGGGGCCAGCCCAGGGACACGGCTGGAATTTGGCTCCCATTCTTTTCTTCTACAACTCAAAGGCAAACCCTTTGTCCTTTGCACTGTGAAGGATTCTGGCCAGAGGGTGTAATCTAAACAAATTCTTCCCAACATCTTAAAACCTAAATAGCTCAGCTGGTTTACCAGAAACAGAGGCTAAGTCAGTATTCACACTAATGTTAAGGAAAATAATTGTCTTTTTTGGTTGAAAAGTTATTTTCTTTGGGCTGTCACTCTGAGTCCCAGGGGCCTGACCTCTCCCTGTTGACCTGAGTTTCCATAGCTTCTCTTGTGGGTGCAAAGAAAAGGTGACTTTAACTCCTCACTTTATTCTGGAGCATAATCCAAAAGAAAGGGTCCACAGGTGGTCAGGATCGGTACTAGGGTTGCTTCTGATGGGCAATCTCTTCCCGTGCAATTTGCTGCCTCTGTATATCTTCTGGAGGGTCAACTATGAGTCAGTACTGACTTCTTGGCAATGAAGGGGGCTTTTTTAGTTATAAACCCGAGCTACATCATGACACTCTGAATTTAATTTTTCCGTCATCAGTATTTTTAGACAAAGACACTGAAGCCCAAAGAACGAGTTTTTGCTCAAGGTCACCTATGCAGCCTTCGTTTTGAAAAGTGAAAAATTCTTTCATTGTTATACAATCCCTCCCCCAAGTCCACTCCACTCTGCAGCTTTCGTTTTGGATTCCTGTCATGAAAATAATACCTAATCATATATCCCTTTTAAACAGTTCTCTCCCTTCTCTGTTTCAATGCAATAAACATAATTTATCCCATCTTTCTCAGTGTCCCCCTAACCCTGTTGTCAGTCCCATTTTATAACTGTGGCACTACATAGTATTTGTTTTTGTGACTGAGATATTTCACTCAGCATAACGTCCTCCAGGGTCACCCATTTTGTATATTTCATTAATTTCTTGTTTTTCAATGCAGTGTAGTATTCCATTGTGCGAATATACCACAGCTTCTCTATCCATTCGTTTGTTGATGGGCACTTAGGTTGTTTCCAACTCTGATATTGTGAACAAAGCTGCAATAAACATGGGTGTGCATATATCTGCTTGGGTGTGATTATAGTTTCTTTGGAGTATATTCCCCGTATTGGAATTGCTGGGTCAAATGGTATCTCTATTTGCAACTTTTTGAGAAAGCGCCGTACTGCCTTCCATAGTGGTTGCACCATTTTACATTCCCACCAACAGTGAATAAGTGTTCCAGTTTCTCCACAACCTCTCCAGCATTTGTTGCTTGTTGTTCTGTTAAATTTTCCTATTCTTACTGGGGTGAGATGATATCTCATAGTTGTTTTGATCTTTGCCTTCTTGATGTTGAGCTTCAATCCATATTGAAGACTACTGTCCTTGACCTTCTACAGCAAATGCGTCAAGTCGTCCTCAGTTTCAGAAGGCAAAATTGTATCATCTGTGTTTCTTAGGTTCTTGATGAGTCTTCCTCCAATCCTGATGCCACATTCCACCTCATGAAGCCCAGCCTCCTGAATGATCTGTTCTGCATTCTTGTTGTTATTATGTGCTATTGAGTCGCTTGTGACTCATAGAGACCCTATGTACAAGAGCCATAAACCCTGCTCTATCCTGTGCCAACCTTATTGTCTGACACACCTACTCCCTTACCCCAATCACTGAATCGATCCATCTCATCGAGAGTCTTCCTCTCTTGTGCTGTCGTCCTTCCACCCTCCCAAACATAATGTCCCTCTGCAAGGACCGGTCCCCTCCTTGCAACATACCCAAAGTATGTCAGACGAAGCTTCTTCAGAATCCTTGCCTCCAAGGAGGAGCCCAATTTCTCCCTCTCCAGATTGAACTTGTTTGTTCTCCTAGCAGTCCATGGTATATTCAACACTCTACTCCAACATCACAGCTTAAAGGCATCAATTCTCTTTCTATCATCCCTAGTCATTCTCCAGCTTTCTGACGCATAGTATGCAACTGCGAAGACTATGGCCTGGATCAGGCACACATTAGTCTCCAGCCTGAAGTCATTGCTTGTCAATACTCTGGAGAGGTCCCTGACAGTTGACTTTCCAATGCAATTCATCTTTCCTGGCTGCTGGTACCAAGAGTGTTGATTGTGGAGCCAAGCAAACTAAAACTGTTAACAATCTCAATCTCTTCACTCTATTATGATGCCAATCATCCCAGTGGTAAGAATCTTTGTTTTCTTGATATTGAGCTTCAATCCATATTGAAGGCTATAGTCTTTGACCTTCTGCAGCAAGCTCTTCAGGTCCTCCTTAGTTTCAGCAAGCAGGGTTGTGTTATTTGCATAATGCAGGCTGTTGATTAATCTTCCTCCAATCCTGATGCCACATTCCTCCTCGTACAACCCAGCATCCCAGATAATCTGTTCTGCATACAGATTGAAAAGGTATGAAAACAGAATACATCCCTGGCAAATTTTGAACTATACAGATTGAAAATATATGGAGACAGGACACATCACAGATTTACTCCTTTCCTGATTTTGAACCATAGTGTTTCCTTGCTCTGTTCTGATAACTGCTTCCTGGTCCAAGTATAGGTTTTGCATCAATGTGGAAACTTGTTTGGATTTTTTGTTGGTTGCCAGGCTCTGACGGGAGAGGGAAATGGGAAGTAACAGTTTAATGGGCATAGAGTTTTATTTTGGGAGAATTAAAATGTTTAGAAACTAGACAGAAGTAGTGTTTACATGATTTGTGAATACACTAAATGCCACTGAATGGTTCACTGAGTTTCATCTAAAAATCCAAAGAGATAAAATAATCTCTCATTTAAGTAATACATTTCCAACACATACATGCAACTCATTAGCTCTCTTTTGGAGAAAGGCCAGTAGCCCAGAATGGTTCTTGAAGCAGGACCCATAGACCATGAAAGGTTAGTAAGGGGGTCTGGGTGAAGCGAGTAGTCTGAGTTCTGGCTCTAAGAGACTCAAGTTGAGGATCAGGGTCCGGAAGTGCAAGGCCAAAGCTGAGCAGTCTATAAAAGGGAAAGGCATAGAGTGAACCCCGGAGGCTTCCCGGAGGAGGCAAAGTCAAACTAGGACAAAGAGAGCACGCAAAACAAAGGGAAGGATGAATTTCTTTGACAATGGGAAGAAACGGAGTAGAAGTTCAGGCAAAACTGTAAACATCCTTTACCTCCGACCCCTGCCCAGGCTCGCTCTCTCGCTCTCTCTCTCTGGTCATTTTTTGTCTTGGGGCGCCATGGGCTGTGAAGGTGCCAGGGCCCTGGAGACCCAGCAGGGCGGGGCGGGCGCG